GCAGCCGCTGCAGCTTCAAGGCGACGAGGACAAAGGCACTGGTTCTGGGAGGGTGAGCGCTCCCCGCCAACGCGGGTTCTTCCCGGGGCCGCACAGTCAGCAGGTCCCCGACAGCAAGGGCCCCTGACCATCCATTCCGCTCCCTCCGGACGGTGATGCCCTGACCACTTGGGGCAGGACGAGGCTCCGTGGCGGCTGCAGCCCTGCTCACTGAAGAGATCCTCTCCATCCTCCTTGAGCTCACGTTCAACCCACACGTCTCAGAACACGGGGCGCTGCCCGCTCACTGCAGGCAGCCCGCAGACGCCACGGAGCCCCGTGCTGGCCTCCGCGTCTCAGGGAAGAGGGAGTGGGGCTCAACGCAGTCACGTGTCATGTTAGCCACGCCGTCTTTCAGAGGCAGAGCCGGGGGTGGCATCCGGGGCGTCGGGTGCTGTGGTTGCCGCATTTGCCGCCGCACCAGGCTGTCGGCAGGCGTCTCTCCACCGAGTGTTCTGCTGGGCTTTCCAGAAAGAGGGGAGCAGCCTTCGAGGGACTCAAAGCCAAGACAGGCCGAATCACAGCGCCGAGTCTTCCTCTCATGTCAAGATCCTGGCTCATCTTCAGAGACTGAGACGCCTAATGTGCGTCATCGGGTGATAGTAGCAGTGGATTCCGACCGCCTCCAGGGCAGCAAACACACCCTTTCTCACATCGCCTTCCAAGCCTGGTCCCGTTTAGGGGCAGGGAAGACTTCCGAATGTCCCTGGCCACCTTCCGTGGGGCCCTGCAGTCCTGTTCTGCCCATGGCAGCGTGGCCGGCCAGGCGAGGGAGGCGGGGCCGTCGCTGGGCTGGGCTCCAGTCTCAGACGTCCGCCTCCAGGAGGGAACCTGCCTCGCCGTCACCCAGCCTCGTGAGACACGTGGTTAGGCTCCCTCTGCGGTTGACTCCGCTGTGTCTCTGGTGTTGCTTGGTGCAGCCTGCAAGGCCCTGCAGGGGCTTCTGGACTCAGGCCTCCTGAGCACAGGCGCTGCACTGGGCGAACGGCAAAGCTGCCTTACGAAGCGAAAGGGAGTGACACCTGCAGGGGCCTCCACCTGGAAAGCACCCCCGAAACCCTGCAGACCCGGGAACGGTGGTCTGCACTGCACGGTGCCCCGACTTCTCCATCCCTAGCTTCCTATTGCAAGAAGACGGGGTAAAACAGAGACCTTTCCTGGAGAAGCGAGCAAGCCGCCCTGGGGCCACGTACCGCTCACACCTGCCGCCTGCGGGGCCTGTGGTTGAAGAGAAGGGAGATGGACCTTTTCTGGGAATACCCTGAAGTGCAGAAGTCACTGGCCTGGCTGCCTAAGGAGGGTGACCGGTAGGGAGAGAGCCGTGTTCCAGGATCCTCATTAAGGACGAGACTCCAGGAAAAGCATCCCCAAAACCTCCGGGTGGAACACCACACCGTAAACCTCCTGGAGCTCTGGTGGGAGAATCCAGCTGATCTGTCCTCAAATGGCAGCTCCTCGCGGTGGCCTGCGGTGCAGAATGGTGTCCGCGGGTCACCACCCGCCGGGGTCCTGCTCTGCGCCCCTCCGGTCCCCAGCGGGATGGTGCGTTTGTGCTGGGGGTGTGTTTGCACCTGCAGGCATGCTGAGCGAGGACAGGCAGGCAGTGAGGACACAGAAGGCTGACACTGGCCCTGATGGGGGACTCAGGTTGCCCCTGCGTTGCCTCCTCCGTCCCTCTGTCTCGTGGTTGGGTGGTCAGTCAGTTTGTGGTTCTTCCGTTGGCCTCGTGGGGATTGATGTTCGCTGGGTCTTTTCGTTCCTGCTTCCTCGCCGTGGGATAGGTTTACTCCAGCAAATCCCTGCCCTGAATCCAACCACCCTGCGTTTCCCCAGCCCAGCTCCCCCTGGCGTCCTGGCCCTGCCCTCCTAACTGCCAGGGGCGATGGCCCCTGCCACCTGCCCCAGACAGAGGACTTCACAGTGCCAGCTGATGGTGAGCAGAAGTTCTGCCAACACCATGTCTTCCCTGTTTGGAGTGCTTTTTGGAGCCCCTGTTATCTTTAGGAAAGAAGGCATGTAGCCTTGGCCGCTTCCAAGCGAGCAGAGAGGCCAAAAGGCGGTGAGGTGAGCAGGAGGGCCGCCGCTGACAGAGGACCAGCTGCCCCTCCCTCGGCCTGACGTCCAAGGAGTCCACCACGGCCCCCGGCACTGCGCTGGGCCGGGAGCGAGGGATGAGCCTGGTGTCAGATGCCACCAGGTCATCAGAGGCATCGGGCCGGCCCTGCTCAGGCCTCGCCCCGGGAGGGGCAGCCCTGCTGGTCAGCACTGGGCTGGGGGCTGGGCCAGGCCCGTGGGCTCCGCGCCTTGGAGGTCTGAGCTGAGCGCCGGCCTCGGACCTGCCGAGCACCAGGGCACGTCGCTCTTATTTCCAGCTGTTTGTCCAGCACAGGGCCCCCCGGCCCCCGGCCCCCAGAGCAAAGTTTTCTCTGCCGTCCCAGGGACGGTTTTCTCTCTTGGGAAGGACTGTTGGCCCTGACACGGGTGGGGATTGCTGGCGGGCACGGTCAGGCAGAAGGGTCGTCACAGCTGACTTCTTCCCACGGGGCTGGTGGCAAAGGGGACAGACGAGGGCTGGGTGGGCGGAGGGGGGAGCTGGGTGAGGAGGTGGGGGTACAGGAGCCTCCCGGGAGAGCACTGTCTCCAGCCAAGAAACCCTGCAGCTGATTGCTCCGCCCGCCCCATCAGCTCTTCCAGAACCTTCTTTCCTTGCTGATCCAGCATCTGGCCTCCCTCTGGCAAACCGCCGTCCTCACACGACCACGTCCTCCAGCCACCCTGGGGCGCTGACCGCCTCCCTCCAGCTTCACCTGCAGAGTCGCTCTGAGGCCCCCTGGGCTCTCCGCTCTCCCCTGCCCTCCCTTCTCCCCACCTCCCGCCTCCCGCCCTGCGTGTGGTCCCTCCTCTCTCTGTCCACCTTCAGGGGCTTTTCCCACCCAGCCCTGCTCACCCGTTCCTCCCCGTGTCTCTGGAGTTCCTCTCCGCCTCCCCTTCCTCCCTGCCCTCTGTCTCCTTCCAGCAGCTCCGCGTCCAGTCCCAGCCAGTCCCCCACGTCCCTCCCGGGGGCCCGTGTGTCCCTGGAAGGAAACATCTTGGGGCAGAGACCCCGACAGACAAAGTCAGAGTCGGCCTCTCTCCCGGGGGCCGGGAAAAGCTTCCGGATCAGCTCCTCGTGCCCCTTTGCTTCTCCTGCTGGACCCGTCAGAGGCAGATCAGGAAGACGGGCAGGAGGGACAGGGAAGAAAGCAGGTGACGGCAGCAGAGTGGCTGCCGCCTCCAAAGGCCTGAGAACAGCAGCCCAGCCCCGGGTGCCGGCGTCCGTGGACCCTTCTCCGCACCTTCCTGCTTTGAAGCTTACGTTGCCTCTGAGAAGACCAGGGAGACCTCGCTCGGGGCAGCCAAGGGGCTGAGGGTCCCGAATTCAGGCGCCAGGGTGGGTGCCTGGAGCCTCCCTTCTGCAGTCCTGCTCTTGGGCCCACCAGGCAGCCCGCTGCTCCCTTCCCAGCCCTCCGCCCGAGGAAGAGGGACCGGGGTCTCCCCCGGGGACGGGGTGGCTTCCAAGAACCTGGCAGTTAACTGTCAGTGTGAACCTGAGTTTGGCAAAATCGACGCAGGACCACTTGCTCGAAACGAAGCCAGATTTCATTCAAGACCCTGAGGACAGCTGCAGTCCTCACTAGGATCAAGATGAGACAGGATTCTGGAACCGTGACCTTCCGCCCTCCTCCTTCCACACACACGGGCTGTGCCTTCCCCAGAACTGCGCCTCTGGACCTGCTTGCCCAGGAGAGGGGCAGATCGGCTCTAGGCAACCGTGCGTCACTGGGGCTGCCTGGCACCTTCCTGCGGGTCCAGGCGCTGCACTTGTGTCGTCCCATTTAATTCTCACCGCTACCCCCTGTTCTGGGTGGGGAAACTGAGGCACGGAGAAGGGGGTTACTTGCCCAAGGTTACTCAGCCATTAAGTGCCAGAGGTAGGACTTGAACCCAGACACCCTGCCTCTGGGGATCACGGCCTCAACCATTGCACCACGTCCTTCAACCTGCAATAGCTCCAAGGATGGAGCGAATCAGGGCACAGACAATCCAAAAGGGAGGAAAGTCCAAAATCCCTGTGCATGTGAGATGCACCCAACGACGCCCGGGCAGCGTCTGTCCTTCCCGACAACGATGTGCTGAGGCCGGTTCCAGCTTGGCCCGCATCGTCTCTGCCACGGCAGCCAGTGAGCCGAGGGGCCACGTCCTTGGTAGACGGGATTATTCGCAAGGAGGGAGCAGCTCCCACCGGCCCACGTGGACGCACACGAGACCTCCGGAGGCTGGCGTCCGCGCATCCCGCGGGGTTAAGGATGACGAGGGAGAGGCCTCCAGCCCCGAAACTCCGTCCCCCCGGCTGGTTAGCCCTGCCTGGCTCTGAGGAGCTGGACACTGAGAGGTTTGGTTGGCCACTTCGGAGAGAGCCTCGAGGTCCCTTTCCCTGACCTGGCTCCTCCCCTCCCATATGGGAAAGAAGGGGAGACAGGTATAGCCTGGCTCCAGGTCAGACTGATTTCTTAAGAGGAAAAGTGTATGATTTTTCCCTGCTGTCCTTCCTCCATCACACCCCTCGAAACCATTATCACCAGTGGGTTCCAGCACACGAGGAGATGGGCAGAGACAGGTGTGTGTGTGTGTGAGAGAGAGAGAGAGGGGACACTGGGCTCTCGCACTCCAGAGAGTGTAGGAACATCTTCCTCCCAGGCCCCGCCCACTTGGGGACCCGACAACCTGTGACCTACGCGGAGGATGTCAGCTTTTTCTGGGAGAGGGTGTGGACCGGGTGGGAGGAAGGGACTTGGAGGGGAGGGCATGGTCCAGCTGGGAGGACGGACGGGCTCGTGGGACAGAGGGGCAGGAAGGGGGTGGACGGGTCAGGGGGAGCTGCCCCTTAAAGGGACCCTGTCAGCCCCGCCCTGTTTGGCCACGTGTAAACCTCCTCCAGCCGGGCCCACGGAGGCCCTGGCCCTGGGCCCGCAAGCCGCGTCCCACTGTCAGGGAGCTCAGCCAGACGCCTCCAGCGGCACAGCCTGCGTGGGGCACGGTGAGGCCTGGGCCTCTTCCCAGCTGCAGGGCCAGCCAGCCCGACAGAGGCCGGCCCTGGAGGGTGGGGAGGCAGCGGTCCCAGAGGAGCTGGCTGTCTTGTTTCTCGTGCACAGAGGAGCCCGAGGGCAGGGGACCAGAAAAGCAGGGTGGGGCTGCAGCGTCCCTCGAGGTCCGGCTCCTCCCTGGGCTCGCCGGCTAGCTAACCTCTGTGTCTGTCCTGCCCCTTCCTCCCTGCCTTCCCCGCAGCCACGTCGCAGACCGAGGCCAACTCAACATCTATTTCAGGGCTTTGGTGGGCGAACAAAGTCCAACGCCGCCTCCTCCCTGGAGCACCGAGACCCACCGTCCTCTCTCTCCCGCCCCCAGACCCAAATAACGTTCCATTACCGCGTTTTCTAGGCTGTGCTGAGCGCTCCTGGACTCCACTCCGGCTCCTGTTTCTCTCCTTTCTCTTCCTTGGCCCACGGCCTTCCCTTCCGAAATAGCTCTACCCACAAAGGCGGCATTCCTACGGCGAGGCAGCCCCCCAGAGTTCTCCATGCCCTGGCTTTAAAACACGTGCATGTTGTAGTTCATTTGAGGTCTTCACTCTCTGCCCCCATCCCGCCCTCAGAATCAGCACCCCGTGTGCCCTGTGGTGCGGAGGGAGGACCTCGGGAGGGGGCCGGATGTTTCCCGCTCACAGCCCGTGACCTGACTGGGAGAGCGGGCTCCCTCAGCCGCAAAGGCTCTGGGATGTTCAGAGAAGCACTCTGGAAGCTAGCAGGAAGCCATGATTTCAAGTGACCCTCCCTCACCTCAGCCCCGCCCTGGCCAACCTCTGCTCCCCTGTCTGGCTACCTGGAGTCTCCATGGCAGGGTTTCTCCTTTCTCTTGGCAGAAATTCCTGGGAGCTGAGTCCCCTGTCCCTGTGACCTGGCCTCCCACACTAGGCTACAGCACCAGGACCATGTCTCGTGACCCCTCTAAGGGGGCCGGGCTGGGAGACCTGGGGGAACACGGGCTCCCGAGAGCCAGAAATTAAAAAGCAGGGCTGGGGAGAGACCCTGAGTGCTTTGTCACCCCCCCCCGCCAACCTCAGAATTCCTCCTCCTGGGAGCCCAGCCCTGTCTTGCCCGCTCTGCAGAATATTCCTCGAAAAGCCGAAGGGGCAAATGTCCTTTCTTAAAGAAGACAAATGCTCCGGGGCTGGGTGCCCGCCGGCCACCCACAGGGATGTGTGGAGGCCTGGCTCCTGGGGCCCCTGCACCAAGTGTGCGTCCATGTGGTCACAGCGCAGGGCTCTCTGACCCCTGCACACAGTCCACACCCAGGAACCCGCCCCTCCCCCCGCAGGGAGTCCACCCGCCCAGGACTCCGGGAACCCTCGTGGGAATGGGACAATTGGTCAACCAGTAGTCCAAGCACTTCAGACAGCCTTCCAAAATACTCATCTGTTCCCTGCCCCAAATAGGGTGTAAAATAAACCAAGTCTGCGTGGGCAGAATAAAGGGGTGGAATCAGAACCCTGGTGCCAGGATCCCTCCTCCACACCCTTCCTGGGCTGCCTGTCGCCGAGACCCCCACCCAGCCCGCAGGAAGGCTGTGAGAACTCATTCTCTTGGGTGGCATTTCAGCAGGACCCTGAGTCAGCGTGGTGGTGCTGGGGGAGGACCTGGGGGAGGGGCTTCCGACACTGTCTAGGGTCACCTCCCACGTTACCAGGCCTTAGGACTGGCCTGACCTCTGCCTCCTTTCCGTCAGGAAAGCCCTTGCCAGGAAGCGTGGGGCACACTGGGGCTGGGTGCCCGTCCAGGCTCAGGCGTGGCCCTGATGCCCTCTGCATCGAGTCCACCTGGTCGTAGACACTGTGCTAATGACCTGCCCCCCTAATTATTGTGGGCGTCACGTGAGTCACCCCTGAGCACAGGGGGCCTGGCCACCCTCCGAGACCACCCCTCTAAGCACCACGCCCTGTGTTCCCTCCCTCCCTCCTGACGGAGATGCTGGAGGACACGGTGGTCCAGCCCCGTGAAGCAGGAAGGGCCACTCGCAGGAGGGCGGCGAGGGGGATGGGTCTGGAGGGAGGGTCTGGACGGCAGGGCCGGGTTGGACGGCTCCCCTCCTGCTTGGAGCTCCAGCGGCCGCGGCGGCGCCTGACGGCGGTTCTTTGGTGCAGAGCTCTGTTCCTGTCCCTCTAACGCTGCTTTTCAATCCCCGCCCTGCCACCCCTCCCTGTGCAGGGTTACTTTAGTGACCCCTGGAATGTCTTTGACTTCCTCATCGTAATTGGCAGCGTAATTGACGTCATTCTCAGTGAGACGAATGTGAGTATGACTCTGCCCAGGACCCTCCTCTCCGCCTCCTCTGTGACCCCCCTCTCTTTTCCTCCTTTGGTTTATGTTTTGGTTTCCTGTTTTACCCCCTCCAGTCATGCTTCCTCTCGAACCTGCGCCGTCCTAGGGAAAAGTGAGCCCCCCGTCCCTGGTCTGCCCACCGTGGGGCCGGGCCAGGGCGTGGCCGGGGCCCCTCCTCCAGGGCGCCCGCCCGTGGCCCCCACTAACCCAGCTTTTGTCAGGCCTCCACCAGCGCCAGGTGCCCAGGTCTGTGCCTCCAGGGCTGTGAGCGGTAAGAAGGAGTCCAGTACGCCCACATAACCTCTTTCTTTTCTCATTTTTTTCTCTCCTCTCCTTTCTTTCATGCTTTTTTTTTTTTTCATTTCCCTCCTCCTCTTGTTTTGTTTCTCTCCGTTGTCGGTCCTCCTCCGCTCCCCACCCCGGCTCCTCGCCCATGCAGCACTATTTCTGTGATGCATGGAACACGTTTGACGCCTTGATTGTTGTGGGTAGCATTGTTGATATAGCGATCACCGAGGTAAACGTAAGTACCGGCGTCCCCCGCGACGCCGTGCCTGCTCCGCCGCTCGCTGCCCCCGCTTTCTCTGCCCCCCTCCCGGCTCCTGACCTCCACCGAGTTACTCTTGTTTGTTTACATTGGTTTAAAGAAGTTATTTTCTTGTTGCTTTATTTTGAATTTTTTTATTTTATGTTTTTACCTTTTGGAACGAGCTAGGACCCTCTCCTTTTGAGTTTTGACTGCTGCATCCTTTTCTCTCCCCCTTTACGATCTGCCTGGCATGACTCACCCTGTATAGGAGGACGCAGCCCTGGGACCCTGGAGGAAGACGCTGGAGGGGCATTTACAGCTCCTGGGCAGATGCTGGGGCGGGGGCCCAGCCCTTCCCACCACCTCCATCCCCAGCAGGAGGCCTCACACGCTCAGTCCGGGTACTGACACTGAAGGGCCGCTGCCACCTGGCCCCTCCTCCGTGGAGGCCCCAGAGCGGGTGATGGGGTGGCCTCCCAAGGGCCTTTCCAGGCTGTCCCCACTCCCACCTGTACCTGCCCAGAGAAGCAGCCTGCCCCTGCCTGGCCTCCTGTCCCCAGCTCTCGCCACCCTGCCCCGGCTCCTGGCCTCAGGCAGAGCCCCATCCCCGCTCCGAGGCCTCCTGCACCGGCCTGGGAGCCGCCTCCTCCTATACAGCCCCTCCCAGCCCTGCACTCGACTCTGTTACCTGGCATGTTAACCCTTCTCTCTTTACCTGTAGGCAAACCCTCTCGCGGTTGGTCCTTAACATGTGTTGTTGAGTTTTTTGCCATTATTTTTCTTGGTTAAGAGACTTGGTGATGTTTGCACACTCTGATGCGCTGAACCGTTGAATAACAGATCTGAGGCGTTTGTTCACAGCTGCCCCGACCCCCGCCATCTCCCCAGCGTCCTCACCCACCCCTCCCCCTCCACCTGTATTTTGCTGTCGATTGATTAGTTGAACGGATGGTATTTTCTCCCTTGATTCCCCTGATCAGAAGCCCCGTCTGCTCCCCTCCAGCAGACGGACACTGGGAGGAGGCTCCCCGTCCCAGCTCACCCTGTAGCTCAGATCCGATTGCCCCTGCCTCCAGGTTGTCTCTGTCTTGCAGAGTGTGTGTGTGTGTGTGTGTGTGTGTGTGTGTGTATGCACTCTCCCTTGACCTCTCAGTAAATCATCAGAGCACAAAAAAAAACAAGCTTCGGCCTCGTGCTCCGTGCCTCCCCGCCCTCACCCTACTCCGCCCCGCGCCGTGTGGCTGCACGAGCCCCAGGCTGTTTCCCAGGCACCGTCAGGCCCCTGAGCTACACGCACGTATCCTTCCGGCCTGAGGAGCACCCGCGAGAGAGGCAGGGCTGGGCAGGGGTGAGCCCCACGTCCAGGGGGAGCGCAGCGAGGGTCCCCAAGAGCATCAACGCCAGAGAGATGACGGCAGGGAGGTGGAGGAGGGTGACAGCGGCTGCTCCCCGGGGCGGGGGGCCTCTCAGTCGGGGGGCCTTCGGGGCTCTCACTGTCGGCCAGGCCCGTGCCATCACTCAACCTGCTGTTTACTTGCAAACTGTCTTTAAAGAAGAACCAAGACAAGGAAACAGTTTCTAGAGGATGAAGTTTCTACCCCAGAACGTGGCTGTTGGTGGTGGGGGTGCAGGACAAGAGAAGCCCGGGGACTCGCCTCGCAGACCCCGTTTGTACAGCGGCTTCTGTTCAGCTCGCCTGGGCTGAATCTGGCTCACCTGGCCCCTAATTACCCTGTGAGTTGCACAGACCAGAATTCTCACCCCGTTTGCCGACGCCGCAGGTGAGGCTGGGGTGGCAGTGCCTCTCCCCGCCTCCCAGCTGGACCCCTGGCCCCCTGGTGTGGTGCAGCCCCCGCCCTGGGCCGCAGTCCAGCCTCTTCTGTCCCCGACGCCGTCTGACTGACACGTGTCCCGTGTCCCCCTCCCGTGGCTCCCACCGGCCAGGATTTGTTCAGCCCTCGCGTTCGGCAGTTTGTATTTTAAATAACCACAGGAGGCTTCTTAATTTTCCAAACAAAAAGTCACCAGCCCCCTGACGGTTTGAAGCCCCTCCAACTCCTCCGCCCTCCCTCGCCTACGCCAGATGGTCTCCAGTGTCCAGACTAAGGAGATGGAGCAGAGTCGCGCTGACGGGCTGTGTGTGAGAACACGGGGACGGCGAGTGTGACGGAGCGCAGAGGACGTGCCCGGAGACCACCTCCCAGCTCCGCTGGCCCTCCCTCCCGCCCACACAGGCAACGGCTTCTGGACGGAGGGGACACACGTGTCGTCACCCAAGGCAGGAGAGGAGGACAGGCGGACAGGCCTGTGGACGTGCTCGAGGCCTGCTGCCCTCCTCGGTCCAGGGAGCGTGGTGGGCGACCGCGCTGGGGGCCTCCGTGCACAAACACCACGCCAGCTGTAAAGCACCCGAGCAAAGGGCGTTCCTTCCAAACCCCTGCTGGCGACAGTGGAGCAGCTGGTCTCCAGCCAGTCGCACGGCCTTGCCGCTGACGCCCGCAGACGGCCCAGCCCTCGTCCGGGGTGCACCCAGACTCTTAGCTGACGGATCCAACCAGACTGAAGTAAGCCCGCTGACCACTGCCCGGAACTCAGGCTCTACGGGCCTGCCCACAAGGGTGGACGTGGCCCTACGCCCGAGGGCAGCCAGATCGTGCGGACAAGTTGTGTGAGCAGCGGTGCTTCAGCTGAGGCAGGACCCTCCGCCGAGCGGCTCTGCCTTCAGGCCGCCCGCGGCACGGGGGTCTGGACGCTCCCTGGCGCGAGGACGCGGTCAGGCCCAGGGCGCTCCCAGGCCTCCCCGGGCTCTCCAGTCCTACTGTCATCGCAGGGCCTCCTCTCGCAGGCAGCCGCGCCGTCCTGGCCTCAGAGGGAGCCGCGAGGCCTCTTCCCCTGGAACTCCTCACCTCTGATGCTGTCACACCTGCCGAATGCGCCTGCCCTGCAAACGTTCGCCACCTTCAAACACCTTCCCCTGAAACGCCTCCCTTGCTCCTGCCTTTGCCAGGCTCTGGTGCCCCCAGGAAGCGGTCTCCCCAGGGGTCCCCGGAACATAATGTGTTCCTCCAGCACAGTCAGACCCCCGCTCTGTGAGCCGGGCACTGGGACCCATCATGGAGGGGACAAGCCCGTCCTGGAGCGCCAGCCGGCAAACTCGGGCAGGGGGACGGCCCGACAGGAGCACAGACAACAGGGAGGTCCTGCCGCCAGGGAAGAGCCGCTGAGCTCTTCGGGGAAATGCAGTCGAGTAGGGGGAGTCGGAGCAGCTGGGAGCAGAGCTGGCGGGTGCTGAGCATCTGTGAAGGTGACTTTGAACAAAGCAGAGGCGTGGAGGAAGGGAGGCGTTGCCCTGGAAGACACCCCGGGAGGAGCTTCGGGGGGACGAGCAGGGCAGAGGGGAGATGGGGGACCAGGGAGGGCACCCGACTTGGGCCTTAACCTGAGCAGGAAGGGGAGACACCGGCCTTTTCAGAAGAGGTGCCCCATGACCAGGGGACCACTTTGCCGTCCACTTGAGTCAAGGGCGGAAGCAGCGACACCCCGTGGAAGGGGAACACGGTCCTCCGGGTGGGAGGGCGGGCGCTGCTGCAGAAGTGGTGGAAACGGTCAGGTTCCCAGCCTGCAGTGACAGGAGGCCTGACAGCGCCTCCCGACAGACTGGACGTGGGCTCGTGAGAAGTGTGCGCGGGGTGCCGGGAGGTTCGGCCGAGAGGCAGGAGGACGGAGTTCATGTCAGCTGCGGGGGGGGCACGTTTGTGTGAGGAGGTCTGGGCGCAGGTGGGCGTGTCTACCTGATGGTCCGGGGGGGACGTCTGAGGTCGGGGGAGCCCTGTTTGGGCAGCTGGGCCCTCCCTTGTTCCCGGCTGAGCAAGATGCCGGGGAGGTTTGCAGAGGGCATCTGAGCCGAGGGACCTCGGGCGTTCCCTGAGCTCGTGGGGGAGGTGGGAGCGCTGGTCTCAGCGGGCTCAGACCCGCCAGCGAGGCCCCAGAAAGCGTCCACTCTTCCCCGAGAGCCGTCTGCTTTGTTTGTCCGTTTCCTTGAGTCTCTGTCTTGCTGTCTCCTTTTCTCCGACCTTCAGGCTCACTTGTGCCCCCCGTCTCCCCCCCACCATGTGGAGTGGTTCTCTGATGCTGTTAGCACGCCTGACAAGCTGATTCCATTCATTTATTCTTCATGAGTTTCTTTTGTTTGTTTGTTTGAATGACCGTCCTTCCCAAGTAAGATTGTCCCAAGGAACCACCCTGGCGATTTTGTTATCCATCCTGGCCATCCGTCCCGTTGGGCGCGAGATTCTGGCAGGTCACAGCACCCGGGGGCCACCGGGCTACAGGGGAATCACGTAGTGACTCCTGAGACGGAAGCCGGGCCGCCCACGTCTGAGCTCAGCCACAGGCACGGAGAGAGCCCCCCTGCTCGGCACCTGCCCTCCCGACCACTTCTAGGGACCTTCTGAAGGGACGTTTCACCGGGGTGCCATGACCACAAAGGTTCTCCTTTCTGGCTAGAGCCTCCTTCCGCTTCTGGCTTGAGTTTTGCTTTGGAAGCACAGGTGCATGCTCAGGGCTTCCAACACGGGGGCCTGGGGAGGGACTGCACTCCCACCTTCCAGCTTCGCACCTTTGGGGTGACCTCGCCTGGCCCTCTGCCCTTTTCTGCCCCGTCTCCCCTCTCCTCACCCCCCCTTCCTCATCCAGCTCTCCCCCTCCCTCCTCCTCACCCCTACCTTCCTCGTCCAGCCCTCCTCCTGCACAGACTCAGGTCCCCCTCCCCGTTCATACCAGGCCAACATGGTTAATGAAGAATTTTGCACTTGACCACCCACATCCCCTCATTTGCCCTTAAATCTGAAGGCCAGGGGCCCCGCCCTCTGCTCGAATGTACCCCAGTTGATGTGTACTTATTTAAACCTTGCGTCTCTTGGGCGAGGAAGCACTTCCTGCAACCTTAAAAAACCGTGCCATTTAAAGCAGATTTTACTTTGGTCTCCTTAAAGTCCCTTTCCCGCAGCCATCCCTGGGGCGCTGAGATGCGGCATCTCCCAGCCCCTGCGCAGCAACAGGACGGCACTCCTGTCCCCAGGGCGCCCGTTTCTCCTGCTGGGAAGGAAAGCTTATAGGAAAAGTGCACATGCTGGCTGCCGGCCGTGCTGCCAGGCGTCTCTGGACGCTGCCGACTCGGCCATTCCCAGCTCTCCGCGGGCACCTACCGGTGCTTACCCTCCACCCCAGGTCCGCCAAGGTCTCCCCAGGGCAGCCCCAACGCTCCACCTCCCACGGTACCAGGACGTGCTCACCGCTGGATTCGCCATCCCGTCTTGCAGATCAAATTGAGATGAGCTTAGAGACAGTCAAAGCAGAGAAGCAGAGCTTGGCGGGGGGGGGGGGTCGGGGGGGCGTCGGCTGGACCCAGATCTTCAGGTGATTTGAAATGGAGTTTATATCAGATCCACTCCCTAAGTTCTGGACAAGATTTTTTTTTTTAAAAGAAAGTTTCTGTAGGAGAACAGCCAAGACTCACTCCCGTGACGTTGATCTTGACTCGTGGTTCAGAGGGAGACGGAGTTTCAGCGTCCTGATGTCGCCGCCGCTGTCTCAGGGCAGCCGTGGGGCCGGGCGCCCTAGTCTGTGGAGCTGTGCACCACTCGGCCTTCCCTGGAGGGAGTTGGGGACGTCTGCTCCTCAAAGCCAGCGCGTCTAGGAGGCACAGCAGTGGCTTACATTGCTCCAGAGTTCTCTCTGACCTCCTGACCATAGGAGAAGGTCCTGGAAGACAACTCGCTGGGGTATTCCAGCCTCAACGTCCACCTCTCGAGGGCTACCTGGCCCTCCATCCCCAGTGGTCCTAGCCTCCTGGCTACACAAGAAGGACGAGGAGAAGGAGGGGGAAGAAGAGGAGGAGGAGGAAGAGGGGGAAGCGAAGGAGGACGTAGGCCCTTCTTCACGTGGTGAAGAGCTGCTTTCCAACAACTTCAGTTCTCCAGAAAGACCCTGTCGTGTTAACCATGGGAAATCCCACCGGTTCTCACATCCGTCCTCCTGGGAAGACCCCTCCATCGTGGAGGACCCTCTCCCCGGCTGCCGGTATCCCCTCCTCCACGAGGTCTGGGGAGGGGACCCCAGTGAAGAGGAGCCGTGAGTAAGTTCTGGAAGCAAAGCCTCTGTCCACCGAGGGGAGGCTTCTCCTCAGGCCCTGAGCTGGGTTCAGGGGGGCAGTTCTGCGGACAATGTCCGCTGGCCCCCCAGAGCCACGCTGGCCTTCGCCGGTTGTACCGCAGGGTGTGCTGCGGCCGTGCGCCCTGTGCGGGAGGAGGGCTGTCCCCACAGCTGCCCGTGGCCCGTCAGCCGGAGCCACCAGCGTGGACTCTGAAAACGCTCCCCGCTGCCTCTCAGAGGCAGAGCAGCCTCGTTCCGTTTCTACCAACTGCATGGACAAATTAGCTGTCCCCACATCCTCAACCCCCTCAAAGTGACCAGGTCCTTAGAAAACAAGGCTGAAAGGGCTGGCAGCACAGAATGGGCTCCATGCTCACCATGTCGGACACGGCGCTGGATCTACCTCCACCAAGCGCCACGATGGGGGCACGGCAACGTCGCTCGCTCGCTGCGGGGGTTGCGGGAGGGTGCCCGCGTGCACAAGGGTCCTTACGCCCCTTCCTCCCCAGGAAGACGGCAGGTGAGAAACCGTAAGCTGCTCGGGGGCCCTGGAAGCAGGTCCGAGAAAGGGTCGGTGGTGGACGGCACATGAATTCCCCAGGCTCCCGACTGAGCCTGGATTTGGCTCCGGAGGTAGAACTGACTAATGCTCAGGGGTTCCTCAAACCCCGGTTCTGGGGGTCCCAGAACCGTCTCTGGGCCAAAGGTGCAGCTGCCCTGTCTCCCTCCTAGCTCAGGGGACGCCAAGCAGCAGGCAAGGACGCCAACGATGGACGGCCACCCAGGGTACCTGGGGGTGTCAGCAGACGGGGTTCTCCGAGGGCAGGGCTGTGGGGCGGGCCTCTTCACGTTGGCCCCCTTAGAAATCACGCCAGGTTGCTGTCTGGCTTTTTCTGGTGCTGAGTTACTTCGGGGACCATGGATCTTCCAAGTGTAGCTCCTCACGTAAGAACAGCAAGAGGCTGATGGGCAGCCCTGCACGGGCACCTCTGAACAGGGGGCTCAAGGCCCAAGGAAAAAACCGACCCAGGAGTGTCCAGATTCTCCCAGAGTGAGGCTCTCTGGAGAGCCACTGAGCCCTGGGCTGGGGGACACCGCGCAGGAACCCCAGAGGCCCCCATCCTCCCTCCCGCCACGGCCCGCAGGGCGCCTCCTGGCTCCCTGTCCAATTGAGACATTTAAAAATCCCAAAGGAAGGCTTCTGAGTGTTTAAGAAGTAAAATAAAATAAGCAGTTTTCGTTGTTTAATGGCCGGGGGTATATTTAGCTGGGCCAGGTGACCCAGGTGGGTCCTCTAATCACCTCTATCCTGGTCTCATTCAGGATGGGGTTGATCCAGAAGACCTTGGAGCATGTGCCCAGGGCTCATGGCAGTAATGGCAGCGTTGATGGCTTCCAGGGTGGATCTAAGAGGGGTGAGGGACCAAGCCCTTGGGGCCCGCTGCCCTGCACCCCAGCACCGAAGCTGGTGTAGACGCACCTCTGGCCACCCTCAGGCCCCTCCCGGCTGACGCCCCAGAAACCTGGAGCTCCTCACGTGTCTGCGCAGGGCACAAGCACTCACCCAGCCTGGAACTTCCTCGGTGTGCGTGCGTGCGTGTGTGTGTCTCCGTGTTCTATCTCAGCCTGCTAGCCAAACCCCAGAGACCCCACACCCTCCAGGCACGAGGGTCCGCCTGGCAGCTAGTGACCCCCGGGAGGCAGAGACAGATCTAGAACGTATTCCGTAAGTGGCCAGAGAGGTGTCCCGGCCCTCCCCTCGCCTCCCCTGCATCTCCACCATTCCCAAGAGAGGACACCTGCAACCTGCTGCGGGAGAACAGAGGGAGTTGCTGAGAAATCTGTTACCAAGGCGTATTTTCGGTCTGCCGGCAAATGTCTACTGTGCGCATTTCCGTCCTTCAAAACCCCCACGACCTGCTCTCCTTGTTTGTTCCTTGAACACAGAAACACAAGAGCAACCCCCTGAGAGTGGAGGGGAGAGTGAAGTCCTGACCTAGAACGAGTTAGCGCTCGGGGCCGGGGCCATCCGGGGCTGAGCTCTGAGCGGGGCCAGCGGGCAGGGCCGCTTCCCGGGCACATGCTCGGGGCTGCGGGGCGTCCCCCTGCGCCCGGCTCCTCGACGTCTGCCCCCAAGCCGCCCAGCACTCAGGCCCGTGAGAACAGCTTCTCCGGGTGTTAATCATAACATCCTAAATTGTGTGCAGGGCTTTCAAATTTCAAAAACAGTCCACACTTGCTGTCTCGTGCTGTGGCTGGAGCTCTACCCTCCGGGGCTGGGAACCCAGCAGGCCCGGCTCCCCCGGGCCTCAGCGTGGGGACTGGATGCTCCCTCAGGTGGCCTGAGGACCACCTCTGTGGCTCGTCCTCGGTGGTAACTAAACCACTGTCTTCCCCTGAACGTGTCAGAGGGGCCACTGCCAAAAAGACCAGCCCTGGGCGGAGGCCGGGCCCCTCTCCCTGAGCCGGCAAGGCTGGGCCAGTCAGTGCAGGCCGTGCCGGCCCCCAGGGGCTATCTCAGGACACGCGGCTGGTGAAAAGCCAACAAAACCTCCGTCCTCAAAGTGCAGAAGCCCTCATTTGTCATGGCTGTGGGGTAGTTAGTCCGCGGCCAGAGGTGGTCCCGGTAGGGGAAGGCCCCGAAGCCCTGCGGGTGGGAGGCCCGCCGTGCGCAGCCCCTGCCGCCTGCTCCGCCTCTCCCGCCACCGTGTTGCTCCTGTGTTTCCCAGACCTCGGGGGCCGGGCGTCTTCGTCGGAGACTCATTACAGCTTATCTCTGTCTGCCTTTCTTTAAAGCCAGCTGAACATACCCAATGCTCTCCCTTTATGGTAAGACCGGGCTCCAAACCACGCTCTCGGCTTGTGACCGCCTCTGACACCCCACTCGCACCCGACCCAGCCCAGCTCCCCGTGCATGCCGCCCCGGGTCCGCCTGTGCCTTGCCTGCCTGATCTGTGAGCTGTCGGTGCTGGTGTGACTCTTCCATCCCTGAGCTTTCCTGTGGGGGGCGATTCACTGTGACCTTGACTGTCTGGTGAGCCGCGGGAGAGAACCGGACCGAGGGCCCCTTCCTGTTAAACGTCCTGAGGGTGCCGTCTCCAGCCTTAATCTGAGTGGGGTTTGCACAGGGCACCCCAGGCGCCTTGGTGAGGCCTCGGGGAAAGAGGGGCTGGGAGGGCAGTGCCCCCCATCGCCCGGCACCTGTGGCTGCTGGCTGTGAGCTCGAGTTCACGGCCCCAGTAGGAGGTTCGGCTGGGTTCCCTACTGAGTGTTGGCTTTCCCATCACTCGGCAGGGCTACCTGTGAGGTGCTTTAAAAGTAGGCCACAACCGCTTCCCTGCAGCAGGTTGTGTGGCTGGTGGCCACGCCCGCCACCGGAGTCCGGGACTCACCCGCTGTGGCTAAGGTGATGGAGCGGCGACTGCTGTGACTTTGCGGTCTCCTTGGAGCAGCCGTCTCGAAACGGCTGCCTCTACACATTTCCGAAGTGGGCCACGTGCGGGTTTTCAGAAGGACCAGAGAGGGGGTGAAGTCCCTGCGCCCCGGAAGTCCGGGGGGCGGTGGGCAGCGCTTCCTGAGGAAGCCCACCCTGGGCTCTGCTGCCCCCACCCTGGTCACTGATCACTGGAGCTTTAGCAGCTGCAGCGGCCGGGACGGCCCTGAACCCAGGCCGGAGCTCAGACTGCAAGCTCAGTCTTTGCTTTTTATGTCAGAGGCAGGTGCCCCTGTGGCACCAGCTTCCCAGCGCTGGGTGCGCAGCTGAGCTTCCCCATGTGAGCCGTTTCTTCTTCCTTCCCCCTCCCCGAGCTCGGTGGGACTGGCAGCCTAGTTAGAAAGCCCGAGCGCCCCCACCCACTCTGCACCCTCCTCTGGGGGAGCACAGCCTCCTCCTAGGAGAGAAAACAGGATTTCAAGTAGGTACACAGGTGACAGAAGCACAGAGATGAAGGGCATCAAAGACTTCCAGACACACAGGCAGGTTGGCCGGGCGGGGGGACCGCTGTGGGCTCCCTCCCCAGCCCCCGCGGTCCCTCGGCCTGGTTTCTGTGGCCCCCCCAGGGCAGAGCCAGAGGTGCTGGCTGTGGGCTCCCAGTTCTGATCAGGAGAGTGGAGAGGCTGCTGGAGCCCTGGACACGGGGTTGGAACCAAGGCCGTGGGATTTTCGTGGGTGTTGTCAGGGTGGATCTGACCTGGTTAGACATCCAGCGAGGGGAGCGGGGAACTGGAGGACCCAGAGACGCTCCCGTCGGCGGGGGCTGGCCGGCAGGACAGGTAACGAGGAACGCCCAGGACGGTCCGTTCTCCGTCC